TGCCCATTATGCCCATTATGCCCATTATGCCCATTATGCCCATTATGTCCATTATGCCCATTATGCCCATTATGCCCATTGGAAATCTCTTACACATGTCCTTGCAGTAAAATGAGTTTCCAGGAAACTAATACAACGCATCGAATCCTCATCCTCGATATCAACATTCATTCAGTAAGATGACAAAGAATGGAGTGGTGGTTTTAATACTACAATGATCTTAGAATATTTGGATCTCTACCATGAAAACGTTTTGGCGCGTATGAGAACCCCGTAAGGAAAAATTGAAAATTTCTTGCTCTTTCCTTACTTCACTGTATTTCAGTAGTGTGTTAAAACTATACTCAAGAATTTTTTGAACTATTTCAAATTTATTATTAACTTATGCGACGAGGATTTTAGTTTAAGTTCATTTTATATAAGCCTATTTGATAATAAAATCCAAATACTTTATCGTACTTCAGTAATAATCAAATCTTGAAATACGATGAGGCATTTAAAGTTTATTTCCAGAAAGATCATGTGAAATGAACTCTAAGTAATATTCTCGTGAGACAAGTTGCTAATAGTCTTGACATGGTGAAGAACTTCTAGATAATAGCTTTGATATATCTTTGGACTACGCTGAATTACCAATCTTTTGCTTTATTGTTCTCCTGGACAACTAGTCTTCATTAGTTGGTCATTTAACCATTCTACGATAAAGTTTTTGTGGGAAATCACTTTAGTTTTCTTGAGACCGATGTTAGCATTATATGCATGTCAACGTCTATAGATCAATTGACTGAAACTCTGATAATATTCAACTGTTTTTTTTTCGAAGAATCCTCAATAGCTGAGGATATTTTCCTACAAATTCGAAATTGATAACTATTGCTCAACAGAATTTATCGAAGAAATGAGATGTCAATACTACAAAGATCATTAAATTGAACTTTTAACTGATCAAACAACAGAGAAATAACCAAAACGTTTTTCTACATTATTTTCGTTACTTTTTCACTTAAAAATTTTTTTTGATATGTGCTAACCAATAAAATCATCTTTAGCATATAAGTAAGTTTCAAACTTCCGAAAACTCTTTTTAGCTGATCTCTCTTCATCATCATCTGAGAGTGTATTATTTTCAAAAGATGAAATATTCTTTAAACGACGCTAACAGTTTGAAGCTATGTTTGATAAACAATAGGTTCGATGCAGACTCGTATGGTAATTTTCTTCATTCTTTCTTTATTGCTTTCAATAGTCTGGTGATAGACACTGGTCCTTGTGCAGCTATTGCAATTTTGAGCAACGATTATAGGTTCTTGATCAGATCCATATTCCAACTTCTAGATGGAACGTAACAAGTTCATCAGATCGCTGCTAGAATAATCGTTTCGTTCAACATGCAGGTGAACCATTGTGTCATCCCTGCACATCACGTGATTTCAATTTGAACTTTTGATAAATTTTTCTCACGAGAGACGCACTTGTTCATGATGTTTAGTTAGTAAGGTATGGATAGAGATTTTGAACACTTCAGGCCAGTACCCACTAGACGTCATCGATTAGTATGAGTACTTATATCGTTTCACGTTTTCGTCGGATCACGCTGAATAGTAATACTAGTGACTGGTCCTACCATCTCTTAGTTCTGAACTATATCAATAATAACATCGTTGACTTCGATTGACATAGCACGTAGTTTGTTCGATTCCGGGCGGTCAATCAAATCTGTTTTTCCTGACTCTTCAATCAACTGGAAATAGTTGACCGGTTACAGTTCATGTCATTAGTGAAATTCAAGAGACATGAGAACTTTGATTTCGAAATGCAACAAAATAAAGATGCTAAATAATTGACTGCACCGACTTTGATTACTAGTAACATTACTTATAAGGTATCTTTGCATGTCTCATTCGCTAATTCTATTATACTTTTTACTAAGAAGTTAACACACTACTGACAAAACTTGCTATGAAGATCCTATTAGTAAATCGATTGAGTAAGACTCTTCATGACTACATATATATATATATATATACCAAGATCATTGGCTGGTTGAAAGTTTATGTTTTACAGCTTTTTGAAATTGATCCTATAGAATAAAAATAGTTTCGTTGACTGATATGCACCGAAGCAAATATTTAGGTCAAAAACTAACGAAAATAATGCTGAGAATCGTTTTAGTTGTTTCTCTATTTTTTTGTCATTTGAAAATTAAATTTAATGAGCCTTGTAATATTGACATCAAGTTTATTTGATCAATTCTGTTGAGCGACACTTGTCATTTTTAAATTCGTAGGAAAACTTTCTAGACTAGCGAAGATTCTACAGAAAAAAAAAACGATTGACAAATTTTTCAGTTTTTATCAATTTATCTGTAATTTCTGATATGCTAGCGGCTCATGAATCTCACATATATACATCGAATTCGAAAAGAGACAGGTGATTTCCCCTAAAAGCTTTATGGTAGAGTAAAACTAAATGTCCGACTAAGGCATGAAGGTTCTCACACTAATGAAGATGTCAAGTTGTAGAACTTAAAGTGTCCTACAATCAAAGTGATATTTGACCCACAACTCTATTATTTGCCATCCTATTGAATGCTGCTTAGTGTTTGAAATCAGGATCTACTGAGCTCTATTATTATAAAAGTTTCGGCAACAACGCTTATGTTTTTATTTACTTTCATTTGGCATCGCTACTTTTGGTCAATGCTGTATTTCAAAATACAGAATAAACTAAGAACAATCACTCATTTTAATAGGCACTTGTTCTAACGAAGCGAGACATTGCAATAACTCGACTAACGAATCACCACCTCTTACAAAACATTGGATTTTCCAAAGAACCAGTTAGTTATTTTGTTTTCAATAAATTATAAAAATGGACTTTAAGAATGATAAAAAATTTTGAAGATTTATTTTTTGGTTTTCTTTTAAAGAAATAAAGATGCGAATGTCATAATAGCTTCATAAACAGTAAAATAAAATGTGATTAATTTCAATATTTCATTGAATCTCTCTTAAAGATCGAATAGTAAATAATCTAGTAAATAAAACTAAATAATAATGATCGAAACAGTTAGTATTGGTATTAAACTTTCAATAGTTATCAAAAGCATATGCTCATTAGTATGACAAAATACAATTATTATTTGAAATTGAATATTTATAAACAAACAGTATCATCTTACAACTCCCATTTCGATTGGTACTTGTTTTAGTGTAAATATTTGAGTCTAATTCAAATAAAATTGTTTCAACATTATTAATTATGATTTACAAACAAGAGCATGATAGGTAAATTGGTTACCACTTTTTTTATTATTGAATCTTACTCTAAAATCATGACAAAACCTGCGGAAAAATAAATCACAAAAAAGTCATGAAAAGAAAATTCTTTATCAATAACTTTCAGACAAACGTAATTTCTTTTGTCTGAGCAATATATATATATATATTTAATATGGAAATTCTATCAATTTCTTCTGATGAATATTTTTCGATAATTTTTAGTGCTAATTCAAATTTTTCCAAAGCAAGTGGAAATTTTTTATGTTTGTCATAAATACGACCAATATTCGTATGATAATCAACTAAGTTCAAGTGACCGGGTGGTAAGCTTTTGTTATCAATGTCTAATACTTTTTGAAGATATTCAAGAGAGTGACATCATTCAACGAAAAAAAAAACAAGATAAAATCTAATCGAATCGAATATATTGTTTTTTGAATCCTAATTGATATACAGTTTCGATTCAATTTTCTATCTATGGTAATGGTGATAATGACATCTAACATTTCATATTGATAGACAAAGAAAATAAATCATTATCTTTGATGGCATTTTTTCGATGAAAATTTCTTTTTCAAACTTTTTCTTTCATAAAAAAAATTTCATCTAATATTTATTGTTTACAAAGAAATATGAGTTAAATGATAGTTACTAATAAAAAACTATCTAGTTAACTGAATAGATCTAATTAATTTGAAATAAATTAAATTAAGATAAATATTTATATATATATTAATGAACAATTTTATAGTGAATTTGTTCGCTGAAGTATTTGACGCCATTGTTCGAATAAATGTTGTGTTACATTAGCATTATATAATTTCATATTTTCACTAACTTCTATTAAATTAGTTGTTTTTAATTTAGTAACAAGTTCATCAGTTGAATTAAAATAAATAATATGTGGCCATTGATAGAAATCAGCAAATTTTAACCAATAACGTATTGCATCTCGATCAAATTCATTATTAGGATCAGGTATATCAGGACCTAAAACACCTGATATTTTTGAAGCATTTTTTATATTTCCAGATATACCATCCCATGTTCGTTCATTAACAACACGATATGTATAATGCCATTCAGTAAGAAGATCCAATGATGGAAAAAATAAAGGAATATTCATTCTATAGTGTTCAAATAGACTCATAACAGATACTTGATATGGAATATATATTATACCTGGATGTTGAGCTAGTTGAAAATATTGATAATGTACTTTGTAAATATCTCGTATATGACGAACTCGTACTGATATCTTCATACGTTTAAATGAATCAGTTAATAATGACATAAATTTCGAACGAAAACTTTTCGCATTCATATTCGCTATTATAAAAGGCTTTTGAAATCTTGGTTTATATGACGCTTTTGTATAAGCACATAATGATGGTAATACGATTGTTTTTATACCAGTAAAATATCGAATATATTCAGCATCATAGAGATTATTACCAGCTATTACATTACTAATTAAAATAAAAGAATATTATTTAATAATACAAATAAACATTTTGAAACTTTCGTCAAAACATATAACGATGGAAAACTATGCTTAAGAATTTACCAATAACACTTTTGTTTTTTTTTACACAGACAAACCCAAGAGTATTCATAAAATGTGTATCCTATTTTAATGAATAGTTATTCTCTTTTTAACAGAATAAATTTATTGTGATTATATTTTTTAAAACCATCCTTGTACTCTAATCAAATAAATATAAGTTTTACTAAAATGATTATCTGTCATTGCTCTATTTGAAATCATGTTTCTAAACTGTTCATTAGATCGAGTTCTCAAAAAAAGAATCGAATCATAGAATTAGGAATTGTCATTGATCAAACTATTATCACTAACACGTTTATATTTTGTTCGAGTACTTTCATAGAAAATTAGGTATAAAGACACACGTATATGCGAAAAGGGTTTCAGTTTATATTGTGTAAAACATTTTAATGATAACAACCTTATTATATTGAATAGATCTCAATGATAAATTTCAATGTTAGATATGTTCTTTTCAGTTAAATAATGTCTAGAAATATTTCAATTATTTCAATTTTCTTACAAATCAAATTGCGATCAAATTTTAAATTTTATTATTTTGAAAACTTTACTCGAAATAAATGCACTATGATACGAGAGGACTCTATCTGTCTATATAGATCTTTCACAATGAAAATGATTTTTTCGTGTATAACTAGATTTAAATGTTTTTTCGGTATTTCCTAACCAATAGATTTGCACTGCAATGAAAATAAAATAGACCAATCAATAGAGAATTTCATGTTCTATTTACCTCGGAAACCTTCTCAGAGTTATTTTTCACTTGAAAAATCTGATTTTAACGACAAGAACAGAAAAAATATAAATGGCTTTTACTAATTCTCTCTTAGCGCAATTTATTCCACGTCATTGGAAAGACTATTCAAAATAGAATAAAATGGTATTGTTGAAGATCTGATACTACTAGTTTTTTATGTCCATTGCTTTAAAAAAAAAGGTGTTGGGAAACACAACTAACTCTTCTTTATCAATTTTCCACAGCCTGATGATTCCAAAGAACAGTGTGCTTCAACATACAAACTGATTTCATTGAATAAATTTTCTCGAAAAAATCTTGATGTTTTTTCTATTTAATTATTTATCAGTCGTTCTTGTTTGATTTCAGAAAAGATTGAGTTAATACTAATACAAACTTCTGATCGATATACAGAACAAACAAGAAGACTTTATGGGGAAAATTTGTTCAATAAAATTAATATGTATGCCATAATGCATTGATTCTTGCAATCTTCAGGTCACGAATCATAATGGTTTTTCGATTCAAACACTATTTATTATTATGGATTGAAGAATGTTCAAGTTCCATGAAATATGAGCTTTTTTTTTACTCATTTACAAATCATATATTGTAGGCAATACAAAATATCCAATAAGATAATTAATAAAAAGGACAAATTTAAAGAAAGAAATATTTAAAAAAATATATATTTTAATTTCATCACAACAAATTGATACTTTTCCAAGAAAGTTTTAACTAGCTTGACATACAAAGAAAAATACATTTCAATAAATGATAATAAATAGCGGAGGTAGTCTAAACATCTCAAAATTTTTAAATTGTCATAAAATATTTGATGAAATATTTTTTTTAATCGAATAAAATAATGGAAGCATTTTTTTTTATATGAATACTTACCGAGGATCCGAAGCGATTATTTGAAGATTTGTATTCAATTTAGTCCAATCTTCTTTAGAAAATCTTGCCAATTCATATCGAGTAGATGCAATAACGATTAATGTACGATTAAAAGGCATAAATATTTCACACATTGCTACAGGATGAAAACACATAAATATATTGACTTGATTCATTTCGGAATCATTCTTATAAACTTCATAAAATTGTTTGTGAAGTTTTACATCAGTACTCATTCCATTATCAGAATTTAAAATTTTTAAATTTTTTGCACATGTGTTAGTTAAATAACAATGACCAGATAAACTTTTATCAATAAATCGAACATTGAGTGATGTAAGTTGATGTTTTATATCACGGATTGGACTAATTAATAGAAACAAATAAATATACAATTAAACAAAAAAAAGAAACTTCCTATTGAAATTTTCATTGCAATCGATCCTTTATTTATTCAGATGATAGTCAATAATAATTAATAAAACTCTCAATAATGAGATAAATTATTTATTTTAAACAAAATCAGATCTCTTATAGAAATGTTTAACATGTTCATATGATAAGAGATAAAAATATGTAGATTTCTTAGAATCGATATAAAACAAAATTTCTATTAGATGATTCCAATCGAACGAGAATAAAAAATACCTTATGTGATAATCATTAGTCCAAACAGTTATTTTGTATACAGGTGAAATGTTTGGTTTTTCTGGTAAATGCATCATGTGTACAAGATATCCAATTGAATAACATACAACAACAATTATGGTAATAAATATTAATCGACTGAATGATATGAAAAACATTTTCAAAATAATATTCATTGAAACAATTAATTAAATTCGAAATCCAAAAAAAAAGAAAATTTTTTAATATTCTTTTTTGTTTTTTTTATCTAAGAAATCTTTGAGAATAAACAATAAATGAATATAATTTCATTATGTTGATATTAATTCTAAAATATAAATTGATAATTAAATATATTTCATTCTGATACAATAAAACAATAATCATTTAAAAGAAACAGTAACAGAAAATTATTCAAAAAAAAATCAACGAAAAATTAATTAAAATAAAAATAAATCAATAAAGATTCTATTTTAACAATCAATTTATTTTGCTTAATTAATAAGCAAACAAGAAAAAACGAGAAACAATATGTAATTTTCATATAAACTCGTCAAAAGAAGCTCTATTAAAACAATGATGAATTCGACTTTTTTTTAGACTTATTAAAAAGATTTTGTGAACCGATGGTTACTTTGACTTTTATGAAATCATTAAAAACGTTTTGTAAAATACTAGGTAATTATAATTAGTTATCGTCTACAAGATACTTTTGATGAATTCATATAAAAATTGAGAAAAATTTTCTGTTTTTTTTTCTTGTCTCGCTTCACTTACCAATGTATGATAAATGTGAATCATATACTGTTCGAAAGAAAAGAAAATGTTCTATCAATTGATCAAAAGAATATGTTTGCCAGAAACTATTTATCAAGGAGATATAAAGGTCGACATTGCGTACGGTCCTTGAATTATAAAAAAACTGTGTATTTCTTCTAAGGATACTTCTCTTTTCTGTTACATCATTTCATTTATGAATATGTAATAAAAATAAGTTAGATATGAGTTGAAAGAAGGGAAAAAATTCTATCGTTCGATAAAAAAAAAAGATTTATCTTTTAATGATTCAATTTAGAAAATAAAAAATCTATATGAAATATTCAATAGTTTTTATTTATGTCTAGCTTATCTTAAAAGATTTTCTGTTTTAAAAATAAGATGAAGAAAAAACACAAAAATTCTCCTATAAAAATCAAATATTTAGACAAATAGATTTAAAATTGATATTTTATTTTGCCTATAAAAATAACCTGAAAAAAATTTTTATCGTCTCTAAAAAAAAGAATATTTTTCTATTAATTAAATTTTTTTTTTCTAAAATAATCTTACCACTAGCCAGATTAATGATTCGAACGATCGAATTCACACAGATCTACTGGAAAGACGTTGTATCTGATCGTATAATGATGACAACTTGAATGCAATAATCTATTGACGGTATTGTTTAGTTGATCCTGCCCGACAGAATCGAAAAAATTTGTTAACACACTTCCTGAATTCAACTTGGAACTATTTTCCTCGATGAAAATAATGTTTCATGCCAATGTGAAAAATCTATTCGAACAATAAAAGATACAAATAGATGTGTATAAAGAATTTATATATAAATGATCATATTCGATAAAATATTATTTGAAACAATTGTGTTGAAAAAAAAAAACTTCTAATTCTATTCTATTAATGGTGATAGATTACTATATTACCAACTACTTGATTGAGACGACGATATTGATTCGCATACAATCTATTTTGAATATGCCGTGTAAGTTATTCAGCCATATCGAACATGATGATTTTATAGTACAAAATAACATGAATTGCACTCAGCAGTGAACAAGGCGTCTATGATGACTCACATTTATATATCAGACAGATCGGACAAGCATATACAAAATATATCAAACTAGTGAGACAATATTAAAAAGCGGAACGAAAAAAGACATAAAGAAACATTATTCATAAAAAAAGCATATTAACGGGTGTCCCAGGAATAATGGACCTCTCAGTATTTTTAAGGTTTCTCCTCAATTATCCCTGTGATTAAAGTCCTTTTTTATTATCAAATGATAGCGCTTGAAATTCTCTACAAAACCATATGTGACTAGATCCCAAAACAGTGTTATATATATTTGAAAAAAGTCGAAAACTAAAGATATACACACGGCTGTAAAAAGTAAATAACGGGTGTCCCATAATAAATGGCCACACTTTGCATTTCATAATTTAATCTCTAAATACATTCATTAAAATAACAAAATATACCACAAGATACAGCGTGAAAAGCTGTACAATCTACAAACTAAAGTTTATTTTAATAATATACTTATTGTTTTCAAAAACACGCAAAACTCTGTGCGACCAATTTTCGTCCTTGTGAAAAAATCATTTTTTTTACACGAACGAGAATTCCCTTTTTTATTTTATCTTTTTATCACGTAATATGTTTCCTTTAAAAGAAACAAAACATACCACAAGATGCAGCTTGAAAAGCTCTATAGTTTACAAAGAACAGTTTATTTTATTTATGTACTTTTTATGTTCCAAAAAACTCCATATTCTGTGCGATCGGTTTTCGCAACAGCGAAAATTTATCGCACAAAATTTTGCTTTTTTTTGAAAACAAAAAGTATATTATTAAAATAAACTTTAATTTTCACGCTGCATCTTGTGATATATTTTGTTTCTTTAATAAAATGTATTTAGAGATTAAAATATGAAGTGCAAAGTGCGGCCATTTATTACCAAGCACGTATTTACTTTTTACAGCCGTGTGTATGTCTTTAGTTTTCGACTTTTTTCAAATATATATAAAACTGTTTTGGGGATCTAGTCACATATGGTTTTGTAGAGAATTTCAAGCGCTATCATTTGATAATAAAAAAGGACTTTAATCACAGGGATAATTGAGGAGAAATCTTAAAAATACTGAGAGGTCCATTATTCCTGGGACACCCGTTACATTAGATGTGATAGGAGGAGAAGAATAGATGATAATTCAATAAATAATTGAGTGTTTAGCTTCTATAAAACACATATTTGAATTTTATTGAAAATTCGAAAACATTTGCGCGTATATCTAATTGAATGATTTAACAAAATAATATTTTGAATAAAATAAAAGAGAATATATATAAAATTTATTTGAATCTATATTCATGTAATAGTTTTTCATATTTTGTTTGTTATTATTGTTTTGTGATGATGGTGAGCATGTTAAACAAAAGAGTTGAAGGATAATTGTCGAATTAAGATAGAATTCAAACGTGTTTTATGTTATTCATGTACTTAATTATTTAAAACATATAACTAAGATATGAAAGAATACCTATTTACATCTTGGTAACAAATCATTTTTAGTAATTTAAAAGACAAAAATCAAAACTACTTCCAAGCTTCTCTTAATATGTATTTTATAATTTGTACAAATACTAATGCACCGTAGTTTTTTTCCGATTTGGACATATTGTTGAAAATTTACTCAAGAAAAAAAAAAGATATATGCTCTTCATCATTTATGAAGACCAATAAAGAAAAAAATTCAAAAACCATATAGTGGGGTTTGAATGTGGGTGTAAGTGTAGGGTACTTTTTCTTCTTCATTCGCATACGCATCCTTACAACCATAAGTTCTTTTTCTAATGAATTCAAGTATGTTCAATTTCTGATACTTGGACTTGAACTGGCATCAAAAACCAATAAATAAATCGATGGCGACTTTTTTTGTAATAGAATAAATATACTCATTTTTTGTACATGAATAAATTGCAACTTAATAGTATGATTGATTCGAAAAACTAAAAGTAGACTTGAACAATTTCTGTATAAAAATTTTTTATTATATTCTATGCCAATATTACACTGAAAAAATTTTCCAACACTTTATTGCACAAGAGCCGTATATTTTCTGTGTGAAACTGCTTTGAAATTCACAATCGATATTTGTAATAAAATTAGAGTCATTTTTCAAAATTACATGAGTTCAATGATATGAGATACAGCCGATATCAACTCACTATTCCTTGAAATATCATATGAAAAATGTCATCCAAACTGCACTAGTACATTTAAAGTCTATGTGATAAAATTATGTTTTAATTCAGAATCTATGTTCGGAAGAAAATAGGGTAACTTTCTACTGTACGACAAATCAAATGGTGGAAAATATCATTCATATGAACTCATTTTCAGTTAAAACTTCACATGAAAAAGGTCGTTCTATATTTTATCATATAATGTAAATTTCTCGAGAACAGTAAGAGATAGACGGCTGAAATTCGAAGTGCTTATGTTATTCTAAAAACTATACGTACGGTAAAAACTTGAGCCAAAACAGATGGGTTATTTGAAGGTTATTAACATCTAAATTTTCAAAAAGTCGTTTTACAAAGTCAATCAAACTCGAATTTTTAAGAAACAACAATAGATTTCTTTTATAGAAAAGAAAAGCCATTTAGACGAACTTTTGGAAATCATTTTATTTACATTTCACTCGTCTTTCTTTTGCACATCTTTGTTTGCCTTCGATATTTACACAGATAAAGCAAATTTTAAAAATGAGATCACTCAATACAACAATAAAAAAGTGTCTATAATTAAGTATTTGGAACTAATCGATGTAAAAATTTTAATAGAGCATATCAAGCTATACAGAATGGACTATTCATTATATTGTAGTTTAAATTCCAATCATACTAAAAAGTTGCAATCAACTCATATACATATTTTACAGCATTAATTTTTGTTTGTACTCTTTAAAAGATATTTGTACTTAATTAATTCTTCTATTCATTTGAGCTCTATTTGCATTTCACATTTTTATATTTAGTAGGTTTCAAATGTAAAAGATTTGAGGTTAGTTTAGGGTTTTTTTGATGCAATAATATGATCTCGAACAGTAAGGCAGAGTAAAAAGAGTGCATCAGGTATTTCGTCAGTGAAGATCTTCATTGTATATTTATTGGCCACTGCTGATGCTACCATGTGTATTCGATACTCGGCCACAAGTCGATTTCGTTGTGCTTCATCAAAAAATTTTGTCGTAAACGAAGGTATGTTATGTTTCATCGATAATTGTCTTCCATTCCAATTGATTACAGATTTATGATTGAGTACTTTCAATTTTTGATTAATTGTACCAGTAATCCATTTGTTTGATTTAGCATCTAATATTTCTAATGTACCTTTATATAATAAAAGTGTGATTTGATTCTTAAGTCGAGCAATAGCTTGTTTTGATGGATAGGCCACAAGTTCGACAGAATGCAGAGCATTATAACGAGATTCAATTCGATACTGAAGATTTTTACCGGTTCGATCGTAGACCGAAAATTCGCCTGCTTTTACACCAGTAAAAAAATCTTTTTTAATCACATATTCACGTTTTGACGTTGAACAAGCGATGATTGTGATGAATGAAAGCAATAAGATGCGCAACATTATTAGTTGATCTCAAAAAAAGAAATATGTTATTGATAGTTTAGGATAAAAGCAAATAAGAAAATGTCTTCGATGCATTTATAATCAAGACATCAGCATTAGGATGCCATATGATGCCATTAGCATTTGTCTATTTATTCATATGTCGATACTCCTTTGGCTCTATTAAAACGAGTAGTTATAACATGGTCGAGAAGAAAGATGCAATGGTCTAATTGACGTATTAGTAAAAGAATGTAATAAATTATCGCATCTATATGTATTACCATTAAGAAGGCATATTATTTCTTCATGAGTACAAATACAAATGGACGTCATCATGTCACTTTGTACCAATGGCAATACATTAGTATAGAAGTTCTACAATTCGCTAAAAATTTCATATCATTCGAGCATATTGTTAAAGATTGAAAGTTAGAATTTATATGCATAGTATAAATGAAACAATTTATGTCTATTAATATCTAAAATGTTGTCATATAGACAACTCAAAAATGTGTCAAAAGCATACTCATGGAAAAAAATTCAGAGAAAGGAACGCGTTTCACATCGAGAGCAACGCTTTTTCAATAGAGGCATTCTAGTTTGTTCAAGAATAATTCGTTCCTATAGTTGAAAAACGTACATCTCAAGGAAACGTCAAAAACTTTAAAGAACGACGTGTTCATAATCGAACACAATTCATTTCTTAGTATGAGCTACAATGCATACAATAAAAGCACGACGTTAATTGAGAAGTTTCCGCGATTTGATATGAGGATATGTGCTTTCCGGTTGTATCATACAACAAGACGAACTCCGACTTACTTAAAACAATTATCTCTCAAGAGAGTCATCATAAATAGATTTTTCTTCTTTGTGGAACTAACATTTATTTTCTTTGAGAATAGTGAGTGTAAGCTTTAAGATGAAGTTTTGTAGCTTCCACCAATCGTTTCTATTCCAGACATTAGGACTCTCGTCGTCCTCCTTCCATTTATAGACCATAACAACGTTGATAACAAGGCTTAGATTAGCCTACAATATATTAGAAGTTTTCAGGACCTTCGATAAAAGTTGATTGATTGAAGTACATTTGTGAATGTTTTAAATATAGTGCAGTTTTAAATTTCGGTGACGATAGAAAGGATGGGTGGCGATTTCTACAGAAATTGACCCAATTGGATTTTAATAATTGCATCGTATAGAAATAAAGAGCTGGCTGAGAGAAACTATGTCTTATATTTTTTAAATGGTTTGAGTGAATATTTACAAACTTAGTACCCAATAACATTTTCAATTTTCTATGCATTATATAAGAAAATTCTGATTACGAAATTTTACAAGTGTTCCTTGACGTATGTAATTGTTTCTCTATTATAAACTAAACGAATTATATACTAGTAGATAGACCGTGAAAGGATGTGAGTGTGGATCTTCTATGCTCTGACACCCACACACATTCGCCTAGCCTTGGCATGTTTTTTTCGAACACACCCAGAATCGAATCGAATTTTTATCATTCGGTTTAATCTGCGACTCACATCCAGATCCTATAGAACTATATTTAACGCTCGTAAAAACGTTATAAAAAACTAATCAGCCTTGTAACCAGATCAAAGCAACTAATGGTATTACAAGACTGATAGCAAAACAAAAATTAAGAATAAATAAAATCAGTTTCAATGTGCCAAAAGGACTATTGTCACTTGCTTCAACTTGTTTTCCATCGATAATTGATGCTGAATGTCCATTGTTCATTTCATGTTCTATTTCAGCCTTAGCATTATTAGCCGTTACTGTAGATGATTTCATTCGAATCAGATATTCCACCACTTCAAAAATGATAAAAATTATTACAATCCAAGCCGACCAAAGTGACATTATAGTAACAAAACCATCATGATACTTTAACAGTACAAATACCACAAGAAAAATCGTTGGTACCGACAGTATAAGAGCTAACATACCAGTTGTTCGATGAATCCAATTGAAAACAAAACGAAAACGATCTCCTGGATGACAACGAAATAAAGCCATCCATGCTTGAATAAGTGCACAACCTACAACAATCGCTCCCAATATTGAATGTGCAAACATTCGATCACCATCTTCAGCTTGATCCACCCATCGACCTTTCGCTTGTCCCAAAACGAGAAAAAAGCCGAGTAATGTCCCAATGACAGTTGTTATTAGACAAAATCGATGTATTTGAAACCAAATATCTTCACCGAATATTTGTTTCTTTTTATTAACACGTACTGTACGACCATAACGTGCATATAAAACTCCAGTTGAAGCAAAAACCATCCAAGAAAATACCATGACAGTTCCATGTGCTCTTGCTAATCGAAAATCTGGTGTTGAATCTGTGCTGGCCATTTTTTATCACTATGTCGTCCGAAAAAATACAATAGAATAGGGTTTTTATGCTTCTTCAAGAATGAAAGACACACATCATATATATATATATATGGAATAAATTTTGCTTCGTCATCATACAAATAAAGGTAGTTATTTAGTTTTAGTTTTTTTTCTACGTCAAGGACATGACTATCGATCACAATAAAAAATAAGAGAGCTTATTCGTTCTCTCTAGAAGGTACATCATGAAACTCGTGAAGTGCCGCGAAGAAACACTGCTACTCCTGAAAATGAGAAAGAATATGATTACTATGCATTTTTGACAACTCACATCAGCATGACAACGCAAAACAAATCATATTGTTAAAACTTTGCATCTAAAATAAATTAAGTTAATCTTGGATCGAAAAGGTAAATATACAAAATTCGTAAGAAGCCCGTATGTACGAGTCGTGGCCAATCGATTTGTTACTGTGTGATTTATTATGGGACTATGATTTATAGTCAGTAAATAAAATAATTATAAAATTAGTCAATTTAATGATTGATTAGTAAAATAATTGAATGTATAATGAAGCCCATCGGGTATGGGGTGTGGCTGTGTGGATGTACTTTTTCTCTACATCGACATACACGTCTGCGCTCACATCCACATTCACACTTATGCATTAACAAAATTTTTAAGTGACTAGACTCAACAGAATATTTCTACATATGCTTCTCTGCATTTTGGTTTCCTTAATAAACTCGAATATTCGATCACGGAATCGATTAGATATGAATCTTCGTTCACTCTTCAGTTTCAGCCAAAGCACATCATTTTATTCATAAAATAGTCTTCAACTGTGAGCGTTGTGTTTCTCTTTTATGAAACTGTAACGGGAAACATATCACACGCGCATCAAACTTGTACGCTCTTCAGCAACGATGATTATAACTAAAATGAATAATAATCAGCATATTTTCAAGTCATTTATGTCTCTTCTCACTTAATTCCTATTTGATTGACTATAATCAAGCTTGAAATCTTTAAAGTTGTTTCTTCTTGAAAAACTTTCGGAAGAAGTTTGATGCTGACAAAACTGCATTGTAATGCATTTGAAGAAGACCCCGCTGCACATAAAGGTAGAGGGTAAATTAGAAACGATTAATGATGCACATGAACAGAACAGAATCAATGGCGTGACGAGTCCCTATTACGCAGTATAGTCACATGGCAAGAGAAAACATACTTTCTTCGTGCACATAAATATTTTGCAAGTTGGAAAAAACCCAATCATTTCATTTCAATGATATTACCGTCACATAGACGATCAACGAGCATATATATACATATTTGCTTATTTCACCAATCACACTTTAATTGGTAAGTAGAGTCACATAGAGAGATGATAGTAACTGCTTCTTTCTGCTTTGCTTACTTATTCTCACACGAGCAGAAATCGATGTTTTGGTTTTTAGATACGAATGATGTACACTTCGACTTCCTAGGATAGTCTTATCTATTGCTATTTGTAAGAATCAGATTGGTTTTATAAACTTTCAAATATATGAACTGAAATACTAAGTATCGTAGAAGCGTTAAAAATAATTCTTCGAGATTCTTAAGTCTCTGATTATCGACCTTTCAGACCTGTCCATTTCAATTTTTCTTTGTTCAATACACATTCTCTCAGACAGAAATGTTTACTGTTGCTTTCTTGAAAATTTCATCATTAAAAAAATTTATCCTTAATCGATCGATTTCATATTTTTATAGCAGTCTTGGACTTTATTTAGATATTTTTCTAATATTTGACTTTAGGGTGTGGATGTGAGTACCACTGAAGCGAAATCTTACAATCCCACACCTATACCCACCCACACCCACACTCACGTCCACGCCCCACCACATCCTTTTGACTTTCAATTTACCGATGACACAGAAAGTGACCCGGATGCCTATACATTTCTTGTCATCTAGGAATCGAAAGCCTCTTTCACAATAGCAAGACTTTAAAACAATTGTTTTCTAATAGAACTAAATGTTTGCCATTTCCATCAAACAATAACCTTGGTGCTTT